CTTGTAGCAGCCGGATCTAGATAATGGGTCATATTTCTCTCTAAAAGATGGCATAATAGAAGAAAGTGTGTGTTCAGCAGACAAAATAAATTAATCAATTGAAAACGCGAGATGTGTACAAACCAGATTTATTCACCGGAGATAAAATAATACTTCGTTGAAATATCGATACAAACATTTTCCCCTCATACTGTGGATGAAATAAGAAATAGCAAATTGTCGCTTGGCGTAGATGAAGTGAACACATATGATGTAACCCAAACGTAAGGATTCAATTCTCCGAAGCGCTAGTTCATGCTTAATTTCCCATTTTTATAAATAGGCCGATGACAATGTTTTTCGAAAAGTATAGCCATTAATGACGATACGATAATCTCCTGAATGTCTTTTTTTTAGGAGGATACCGTTTAAAGTTGAAACAGGCATGATTCATAGATCTTTACCGAAAGAAGTTACACAGACCAAAAATAATCGAACAAGCTGGATTTCGATGAACCCCTCAATAGACTTATGTTGGGGAAATTTTCATTTTATTTCACAAATGCAAGTGCAAATTGGCCTCATTGCACACTAAAGAAGAATTGTAACTTATACTTTTGACAGGTAAATTTCGTGAAGAAGGCCTCGGCTCACCATCCTACGGCTCCGACGAATTCAAGTTGAACTTTCATCTCATATGAGAGACATCGTCGAGGCCAGAAGCTATCATTTAAGAAGAATTCACCAAAACACTAAACAAAGACAGATGGCCGATTACTTGTTTCTTACACCTAGCTTAACGATCTTAATGAGGCATCCCACGAGTTGGTTGGCTATTTTTTGCTTACCCAGTGTGTTTGCAGACAAGTGAAGTTCATGCATGGAAAGGAAGCGGAAGTTTCCCTGTGCAAACAAACTTCCCTATGATCCTGCAGTGTTGACGCTTGGTATAGGTTTCTGGATACATGTACACTGTGTGTGAACCGATTTTAACTAGTAATACGCACAATATCCTGAATAGAACGAGTATAGGAAATCAAGCAAGAACTAGCCCCGGTTATTAGATAGAATTAGAGAATCAGAGACCAAGAAAAGCCACTGAGTAAGAGAAGGCTTGAGTCTGGACAGGGTCCAAACATGTCAGCTGACTCAGGCATTGTATACACTCAGAAACGTAAATCAAGCGTCATCATTGCAAGATCATTGGCTGGTTTGTTTGTATAGAGGAACATCGACTTGCTTTCCATGCATCCCCCTTTATCTATAAGTATGTTGGGTAAGCAAGAAATAGTCAACCAAATCATGGGATGCCTCATTAATATCGCTAAGTTAGGTGTAAGAAGCAAGTAACCGGCCGCCTCTCTTAGCCTAGTGTTTTGGTGGATTCTTTGTAAATGATACTTTCTGGTTTAAAAGATGGCTGTCGAGACGAAAACCCGGTGGGAATTTATCGAGGTCATAGGATAGCGAAAGGAGGCCTTCCTCACACAATTCAGCGATCAAAAGTACAAGTTACGGTTACTTCCCGGCGCCTGGTGAGGCTAATTTACGACTGCCTTTCACCATCCTTTCCAGATAAAATGAAAGGTGCCAACACAATAGATATTATTTTCCAGACTAAATGAAAGGCATAAGCCTTTTAAAAGAAACCAAAAAGGTTAAAGAACGAAATCGACTTACGTAACGGCTGGATAACACGGCCTGCAACTGCAGCCAAAGCAACAGGGTCGACATTCCCATGAATATCAAAAAGGGCACCAGGCCCAGTTGTGGCAGTTAAAAAATGTGCTGCTTTGGCGACAGCTGAGTTGCTAAGAGAGGAGTCAACAGCGCCACCCAAGCCCATCATGCTGAAGTGACTTGGCCCAACAGCAAGCAATCGGAGGTTAGTGATCTCCTGTTCAGTCAGGGGATTTGTAATAAAATCGCGACAGCTTTCGTTCTCGCGCCGCACCTCTAGTCGAATCTGCTTCGACCAGTCCGTACGCATAACGCCGTTCCCCAGGCTGCCAGCGGTTGGAAATAAGGGCACATTATTCATTTGCTGTGAAAAAAAAGAAATAGATATATTTATAGCTTTTGAAGATACTCACTGCGTATAAAACAAAGACAATATCACGAAATAGGTTCAGCATTTGTCCCGAGGATAATAATATGAGCAACGATGAGATCTTGCATATTAAATGATAATTTGAATAATAATAATAGATAAATGCAATTTTTCAATTTAAACATTCGAAAATGATGCAATTAAGAATACACAGATGCAAGTGATAAGGAAACGTTAATTTTAAATCATATATAAATTAGTCTACTTTATGTAAATATATATAAGCTGCAATTCATAGATAAAAGCTCTTACCAGCTTTGCAACGTAAGCAGAAAGAGGACTCTCGAATTCAATTAAAGATTGGGGTAACTGGGAGGATTTGAAGACAACAATTCTCGCAATACGACCAAATTGATGGAAAACCTATGAAAGTGAAAATGGAACCCATTAATAGAATAAAACAAGTCCAGTGTTAAATCAAAGACTAAGAGCCTTCTTAAAGCAAGTTTCACTAGTGAATGATGCCAAAATGGTAGTGTGCAGAGCTTTCGAGAGCAAAGGTTGATCAATTAAAATAACATAAAAATTTAGACACTATCTGTGGTAAATTGCCTTCACTTTTGTGATGATACAAGAAAAAAAATTAAAAGAAGGCAATCCCAAGAGCCCACATCCTGTCACTTATCACAGAAACAATAAGGTGTTAGTCGTCAGTTGCACGTCTCAAGAGTTCTTCAGATCATTTAATACCATAGTTTCAAAAGAATATTTAGATCGAAATTATATGTTCATTTACCTATTTACACAATTCTGTCTGTGAATGTACCAAGTCAACAATCAGATACTAGAAATTAGCACAAATACTGTGGCAGAGGACGCAAGACAAGGTAAGCTCAACAAGGTCTCCCTGCTTTTCCAACCAAGCTGCTAAAATGAGGTCGAATCAACACTAGACAGCTAGAGGAGACTGCGACCAAACAAAAGACCCCATCATCTTGACTTTCATATCAACAATATCTTATAATGCTTGTCTGGATTACCTCAAAGTATAATTAAAGTCTTTCTTTAAAAAAGATCGTTCATTAAAGTAATTAACGAATGAAGGATATTTACATATATAATACAGTCCCCGTATGATTATGATTGAGAATAGTCGCATCTTGTATATATATATATATAGAATTGCCTATAAAAGTATAGAGCTCTTAAGAACAGGTAATCGGCCAATAACATTTCCGAGGTATGCCCTGGCTGTTGAGAAGCACAACTCTTGGAAGTCAGAATCATAGCGTATTTAGTCGAATTCACTGATAAAGAAAAAAGGACTAAAATAATTAGGTTGTCATGGGGTGAAAAATGACCTTGTAAAACATCAGATAGTTAAACTGGATGTGTAAAGGGGCCCGCTCGACTTGAACACGAATTACAACTCTATCTTTGCCATCAGCTGTCTCATCAACGGAGTTTGCAGTGACCTGCTTATTTGCGGCCAAAATGGCATCAGAAATATGTTGGCTCGCGCCAGGGGTGGAAAGCGCATCGTACTTGCTATACTGCACAGCAATCGACATATTTCCACGAATCGAAGGAGGACAGATACAGTAATACTGAACCATTGCGGTGGCAGCCGCTTCTGAAGCCAGCTCAATCAAGGCCTAAAAATATAAAATAAATGATGAAAAGTTAGGTTTCAATTAGACCCTCAACTATTAGAGATTACTGGACTTTTCGTTTCGAATGACAAGTTTTTATTTAAAAGATCCATAAATTAGCCGCATCAGACACCGAATAAATATTGCTTTGGAGTTGTGACAATTGTTCTGATGCAACAAGTTGGCCCATCTTTCTAATAATCTAAGAATTCAATGTTAAAGTTTCTTTGTAATAAAGCAGGCATTACAGGAAGAAGAAACCAGTAGCCAACAAAGTTAATAAGACATTAGGTCAAAAAAGGGCGATTTTATACTACCTTATTCCTTTTAGACTAATTTTTGTATCTTTATCAAGCTCGCTAGGATGTAGAATGTCTCTATATAATGAAATGGCTAAAAACCGCTTCCTTTCCAAAATAATCTTTTGTGTTACCCTGCGATTCTGGTGTGCTTGTTGTTCGTTATACGTGTTGATTCGAATGAGATGTAAGATCTCCAAAGAAGGAACTGAACTAGGAAGGGATGTGTATGGATTACTCAGAAATATAGTATAACTTCTTAATTTAATTTATAATAAATAGGGCTTATGAACTGAGAAAAAAATACGAAATTTAGGTTTTCCATAAGCAAATAATCGAAAGCATAGCATCTTACTTGAAGAATTGCCCAATATTGAGTTCAATATCGGACCTTTGGTTGTCTGTCGATATAAATTTCGCCGCTACAAGTAAAGTCAGTAAGTGCCTGACTTGACCGGGAATTTATGCATGCAGTGAAATTATATGGTATTAGTGTTTAAAGATCTAGGGATAAATATGATTTCCCGTAGGTCGAAAATTCGTCAGTTCGAGTTTTACTGGGCGCTTTAATGAACATACGCGAGGCAAAGTGAAAGTACAAGGCGGAATCGTCACTGGTGGAAACAATTTATCTGACCATCAATCTGATCTTTTATAGTTGTGACTAGACGGCTATTAGAGTGATTTATGCTTGCCTCTTGTAAAATAGTTAGTAGATAGCTCGATACGTATTAAACTGTATCATCGTTGCGTCAAAAATGCCTTGTATATGAGAAATTCATTTATTTATAGAAAGGGAAAATGAATAAACTCTTTGCGAAGCACTTTATCTCT